AATTTTTTTATGTAATGTAAAGTTATAGCTCAGTACATTTTTTTTCACCCGAGATAGTCAAAGTTGGGGAAGAAAATATCAAAAAGTTAAAAATCCAGAAATAGTCCTAATTTTATGATGGTTCCTTAATTTATTTTAACTACATTGCATTTGAGTATGGAGAGGCAACTATCTGGAAGTATTTTACATAAAAAATTTACTAAGTATTGCCCGGTTTGTAGTTGCAGTTAAAGAAAACACATGAAAAGGCACGATTTTTTTTAAATTCGAAAAAATGTAAATATTTCAAAAACGGTGACACTTTTACCTGAAAATTTTTTGTTTATCAGTGAGCTCACCCCCCCACCTACCTTGCCCTAAAGTTTGGCACGTTACTTCTGGGACACCCTGTATATTTCATGATCCAATGATCGGATCTAAACCAGATGGTACCACCTCTGAGACACTACCTTTCCGATGCAAAAAGAATTATCGAAATCGGTTGACGCGGTCCAAAGTTATGCGGTAACATACATAAAAAAAAATAAAAAAATTATTCCGACGAACTGATAACCTCCTCCTTGTTTGGAAGTCGGTTAAAAACAATAAAAACTATTTTGCGCATTCACTTGATCCGTACAACAGTATAGCAAAACAATTTCTGTCTTTAGACGAAGTTTTTCTATAAAAAAAAAAGAAAATTCTCCACATACTACGAAAACACTTGGTATTTTTCAAAGGCACAATAAATCAAAGTAAAGCTACATACATGTATTATATCCAAGAGTCGGTAGTTTGCACCTTTTCCAAGTTTTTAGAACTTACATTGCACCGTAGTAGTAGTCGTCTTAAGTTTGAAATTCTGACAGCCGATTTCTCAGTGGATGTTTAATTATAATCAAAAGATTATCTCTTATTGTCATCTTCTCAGTGTACTTAATTTATGATTAACTCACCACCACCTTTCATAAGATTTATTAATGGCGGAACCAGCTTTTCCTGTAAATCCTGTAAAACCTGCAAATCGTGAAGTTGGGTTGGGTTGAATCCAAACAGTTTGTTATTATGCGAAATCCTAGGAAACGAAACAATTGCAAGCTGACACCTTTTTAATTAATGCTTTCAATCTGCTCACACGTATGAGTTGTCAAAAACCATTGTTTTGAACATGTAAACCTCAAGTAAATGCCAATTACACCAATTTACAAAAGTATTAAATGTAAAAATCAGTACAAAATCAGTACAAACTCAAAAAATCAGTAGATTTTGCGTACTGATTTCGGGCTCTTAAAAATCAGTACAATAGAAAAAAATCAGCGCATGTACTGATTAAATCAGCGCATCTGGCCACTCTATTATACATATATGATATAAACCTAAATCAAATACTTTAAAGATGTATGATTTTTACAAATTAAAGAAGCAATTTTGAATGAAATCCTCAAAAAAGGCTCGCATTCGTCTATTTAATTTTTTTCTGTAGTCCCGCAAATCCCGCATGTGTAATTCCTCATTTCTGATCCCGAAAAAATGGTGCAGGATCCCGCATTTGCTATAACTACGGTGACCATCCGTCCTTTATTATACGGGGCAGTCCTCTTTTTTCGTCAATTGTCCTGGTAATTTATTTATTTCATACGGGACGCCAAATGTTTCTGTATTTCTTTTAATGTCCCGTATTGGTCCCATATTCGATATTTTGGCGACTTGAGAATATGAGCGTTTTTACTCTCTACAAAATAATGAATGCAACCTTACATACGCAGTTTTGCATTATCTTGATACGCGGCTTTGGATCATACGTGGTTTTGTACTTTAAACGACGATATGTAGATTATTTCTGAAGTTATAATTAATAAAAACTCGGTATTTGTCAGTATGAATAGAATTTAGATCTTAAATAGACGTTAATGATTATTGTTAAAATTTCTAAGAGAAATTTCACTAGTATTTATTTAGTTTTTGAAAGGTTTTTTTTCGACGCGTTTCACGTTGAATATTCTGTATGGAGCAAAGCATATTTAACAGGTAGCAGCAGTAGAGCAGCTCATTTTAGTTTTGTGGAGAATTTCGTCTTTAAATTGTAATTTTTGTTTACATTTTACTTAGAGTATTATTTCAAACTTTGTTTAGGTAAAGGATTCCAAAGCCAACAACAAAATACACACAGCTTGTGGTTTTTTCTCGGGTACTATTTATTGCCTGTCCCTGACCCGCGGTGTGGAGTTAATTTTAAAATTTTTTGAAGATAGAATATATTCATTAGGAGAAACTACGCCAATTTTTTTTGCTGATTGTATGAGCAGGGTTGCCAGGTGTCCGGTTTTTGAAAAACAGCCTTCGTTTGAGGAGAGGATGAAACAGGGGAGGGGAAGAGGGGTGGAGGGTTGTGTATTTGAGTGTTTAAAACATATCGCACACTTCACAGTCCGTTTTTTTTATTGTCACCCGGACGAATAAACTAAAATCTGGACTGTCCGGTCAAAAACCGGATACCTGGCTATCCCGTGTACGAGGGATTCTATCTTCAACATAAGAAACTCCATATAAGATGGCTACCGTGAGAATGTTGCAAAAGAAAAGAAGTTCTCAAAGAAGGAATTGAAGTGGAACCCTTCTAAGGTACGCTTTACAATTCAGCTCGTTTCGGATGCTATTTACTGCATTGCGCTCGCCCGAAATCCGAGTCTGAAAATAATCCGTTGAATACCACTCGTGTTTCAAAAGTAGTCCCTGCCTAGGAATGTTTGTACAAAATTTTGCGGGGTAAAAATCCCGAGCACAAACAACAAAGATATGGAAAAATATTCTACAAATGTGTGATGTTATAACTGATTATATATGTGCTGCTTTCAAGAAAGATCGAAAAATATAAGCCAAATAAAGATGCCGTTTCAGGCTAATAAATCTAGGATCAGTGAAAGAGGTTTTAAAATCCTCTAGATTTTGTGGAAAAAATTGGAAAAATAATTTTTTTGGCGTATTCTGCTACCATTAATATGGGTTCTATATGAGAACCGCTGCATATTTTTTTGTTTTCTTTTCACTGTATATAATGATTGTAATTACATATATGTAGCTCCTAACCTCTGGCTTCCAATTATTTTTTAAAATAAATATGTGTTAAATTGTTTAAGGCATATATTTTTTGCCTCTTGTATAATTTTGAAACCCAAACGCCTTCTTGACAGTTATTTAAATAAAACTCATTGGGGCGGTTTATGTTTCATGTTTTTATACATATATCGATTTCCAAATACTTGACTAGTGTGAACATACATATGAGTGTAAATAATAAAAATAATTAAGTTCAACATAACGTCTAAAAGCGGAGACGTCTTATCAATGAAGGTGGTAGGTAATTGACGTTCGCATTGCTAGCAGCTGGTTTATAGTACTGCTGTTGTTGTCCGTATGATGACACAGGCGAGGCAAAGTTGAGTACGGGAGCAACACCTCCATTGTAGTTCTGGGATGTGCCCGGCTCTTGATCGTACTGCGATTGAATGGTACGTTGCGCATTGGCAAGATCGTCATGGTTGCGGTACTTGACGAAATGCACCTGTGGATGACTGTTTCGATGATCGTTAACAGCTTGCAGTTTGCTCGCCAAGTCAGCAATGTCATGCTGTTTCTGCAGTACGTAAATGGCGGTCTTTTGTTCAGCGGCGTTTCTGGCTAGGGCAAGTGCAGCGTTTTCCAAACCATTGTTTTCGGGTCCCTTAATAAATATTACACGGACATTCTTCTTTAGAGAGTGGGCCAGCTGCTGACTAGCTTCCCCGTCTTCGAATTCTTCTTCAGGAGCGGTAAATGTGAAAAACTCCTTGTTGGCTTCTTGTATTACTGGAGCTAAAATACTTGGTGCGCCAGAATCGTATCCACTGCCGACGCCAGTTAAGCCACCGAGGTTTCCTGAACTACCTATATTACCACCGGAAGCTAAGCCTCCATAGTCTCCACCTGCACTTCCACTGCCTGGGGCGAAGGAAAGTCCGGACGAAGAATGTGGCACCGGTCTGTAGTTGTAGCCCAACTTATCTGCGGATACAGCCGCTAAGAAATAAAAGACAATAAAAAGACGCATGTTGCGCGCAAGATTTGATGATTTGCTTTGAAGAACTGAGTTGGGAATAATTCTAGCTGAAATTGCAGCTTCTTTATATATGTTGATGAAAGTCGGGGCCACGAAAAATTTTGTAGAAAAATAACAACAAAACTTCTTAATTCACTCGGTGCTATCCAACGGGTTTTGCTTTGTCTTCGACCCAAAAGAGACCCGTTTACTTGACCACAAGTAGCCAGCATCCAATCCAAGCTTGCAGAGGAGCTAAACTAGCAAACAACTATTTGACATACAGTTTTTGCATGTGAACATATAGCTTTTCAGATGCAAATGTGTTATGACTCGAAACAGACATATGCACATTTGCATGTAGAAATGTACATATGTATGTATATTAGAGTAGTCCAAAAATGCATGAGAAAAAGAAGTGTCGGAATTTTCATGCTCTCACCCCCTACGATTGTACTATACCGGAAAAATATACCCCTATTTTTTATTTTGAAATCAAAACATATTTAGAGGTCGCTCAAAGAGCTCAAAGCTTTCCATGTATTTTATATGGAAAAAACAACTTTTCGTAGAAATGGTATAGAATTCTTAAAAATAATATGTTTCGATCGGAAAACTCTGCTTCTGTGCTAGAGATTCCTCCAATAATACCCAATTGTTTAATTATCTAAACATTTTTCATAATAACTTTTATTTAATGGTCCACCAAAAACCAGAATTCCATACCACTTCTACGAAAATTTTTTTTTCTCCATATAAAATATATGGAAAACTTTAAGAGCTTTGAGCGCCCTCTGTTTGATTTCAAAATAAAACAAAACGAAGTATAAAATCGGGCGAAGCCGTACATAATATACCCGGCGCACGTGTTAAATATATGGTTTCTCACTTTCAGTAAACTGCATGATAAGAAAGAGTATTTTTCCTAATGTCAAACTTCTTATTTGTCGCTGAACCGCCTTAGCGATTTTGGCCGAGTTCAACAAACCACACCAGTCATTTCTCTAGCTGCCGCCAATTGGAAATGCCAAGTGAAGCCAAGTCCTTTTCCAGTTGGTCTTTCCAATGCAGTGGGGGCCTCCCTCTTCCTCTGCTACCACCAGCGGGTTTCGAGTTGAATTCTTTCAGAGCTGGATCGTCGGATTCCATTCTAACGACATAGCTAAGCAAGCGGAGCCGCTGTATTTTAATTCGCTGTGTTATGTCTCATCGTTCCATCGATTGCGGTACTCGCCATCGCCAACGCGTAAAGTCCCGTATATCTTCCGCAAAATCTTTCTCTCGAATACTCAAAGAGTCGCCTCATCGGATGTTGTCAATGTCCACGCTACGGCGCCATACACCAACACTTATAAAGTATGGTTTTCGTACGCCCAAAGTAGCACTTGTTAGCAAGAATGATTCTGCGTTGGATTTCCATGCTGAAATTATTACCGGTGTTAATGCTAGTTCCCAAGTAAACGAAATTTTCTACTTTATCGAAATTATAACTGTCAACAGGGACGTGGGTGCCAAGGCTGGAATGCGCTGGCTGTTTGTTTGATGACAGGAGATACCTCGTCTTGTCCTCGTTGACCGTCAGACCCATTCGCTTTGCTTCCCTATCTAACTTGGAAAAAGTAGAACAGACTGCGCGATTCTAGTTACCGATGATTTCGGTGTGAGCGGCTCAGTTCTGCAGCTCTTATTATCTTCTCCAACATCAGGTTAAAGAAATCACATGAAAGGGAGTCGCTCTGTCTGAATCCCCCATTTGGTAGGAAACGGCTCGGAGAAGTCTTCCCAATTCTAATGGAGCTGGTGGTATTGCTTAACGTCATTTTACACAGCCGTATCAGTTTCGCGGGGATGGCAAATTTAGACATCGTGGCTTATAAGCAAATCCTTTTAGTGCTGTCGAAAGCGGCTTTGAAGTCGACAAAATAGGTGGTGAATGTCGATCCTTTTCTAGCGGGTCTTTTCCAAAATTTGGCGTATTGGGAATACTTGGTCTATGGTGGATTGGTCTAAAGCCACACTGATAAGGCCCAATCAGTTCGTTGACGGTGGGCTTCAGTCTTTCACACAATACGCTCGATAAGACCTTGTCAAACAGTTTCGATAATATGCTATGATATATTGAAATAATTAGACCACGTTTGGTAGAAATCGATAAGGCGGTTATCGATAAACACTTATGTAGTCATAAGTGGGTAGTGGCACGGCCATTTTATAAAATTCAATAATATTGTGCCTTGTTGAGAGATTGTTGTATGTTGGGGTCTTTAGTTATTAAACTTTCAGAGTTTTCGTATTTCTGCAATTTACCGTTATATGGTAAGTTGCGGTAATTTTAGTTTGATTTGAAAAATTTTCAACATATTGCTTTTTTGGGCCAAGGTTGATAAAAGTGCCGAGTTTGGTAGAAATTGATAAATCGAGTACCGAAATACACATATGAAGGCGTAAGTAGGCGGTTCCACGCATATTTTCCCAAAAATGTCCCTAAATATCATTTTCTGCTAAGAGGTCATTGCATATATCGATTTTGAGCACATTAGCTTAAATAGTTACTAATTTATCGCAGTCTTCGTATTTATGTAAATTACCGTTATACGGGAGGTGGGCGTGGTCTTATCTGATTTAAAAAAATTTTAACGGGTTTCTTAGTGAGGCTCTAAGTAATGTTCGCACCGAGTTTGGTGGGCATTAGTGAAGGGACTACAGAGATATAGCATTTCATTTTGCCGAAATTCTACTTCGCAAACCAACTTTCAACAATTGTGATCCAGTATTTGTGGAAACATCGTAGTTTTTGCATATTTCGAAAATACCGTTATTTGGGAGGTGTGCGTGGTTATTGTCCGATTTTTCCCATTTTTAATCCCAACCTTCCTTGAATAAAGGGCAACCAAATTTCTCGAGATGTCGTATACATGGACAGACAGGCACACTGACGGACGGACAGTCAGGGCTTAATCGATTTCTACTTTCATTCTGAGCATTTATGTATGCATTTGTCTATATCTATCTCGATTCGTTTTGGCTGTTACAAGCTACCGTTATGTGAAAAAAGTTATAATGCCCTTGTGCACAAGTGCGCTCGGGTATTAAAATAGAGGTATACTTTTTCGACATAGAACAATCCTAGGTGTGAGAGTATTCAAATTACGACTTTACTTCTTTTTGGACCACCCTAATGTATATACATAGTTAGCTCGTTAGAAATAGTTTATGGTCATTTCGTGTTTCGGTAGCGGCGCTTAGCTTGTGAATATGGAGCCGGTATGCTTTTGATTTGGAATTATTTAAATACCAGAAAAGATGTTAAAAAACATAAGTATGTGCTTCACGGTGATGTTTTCGTTTTCGTTATGGTGTTCATTTCTTTGTACACATCAATTAGGTGAGAAAACTTAAATTAATATTCAAAGAAATACGGAAATAATTTTCACTTATTAGTACAAACGACGCACAGTGGGACGTCCACATATAACTGCGGCCAAAAATAGTAACCGTACTACAAATTCGCCACGCACACAGTTCTTATGTTCGGAAATGGTATATGTTATCCAATTTTGATGAAATTCAGAATATATACTGTTTTTAACCAGAAAAACATATATCAGAAAGAACGCCAAAATCGGTTAATGTTATGATTAGAGCCGAAAATTTTAAGCTTTTGCTTGGAATATCTTATTTTTCTTATTCATGGTCAGTGTAGCCAGAAAAAATTTCGTTTGGAGCTAAAACGGTCGAAAAAATACCTAAAAAGAGCTAAATAATACTAATAGTAGCTAAATGAGCTAATTTTTTTTTAAGTTGAGTATTTAGGACCTATTTCATAATAAAATTAAAATTTTTTTTAAATTTAAAGGATGCTTTATTTTGCTCATCGATTTCATAAAGCCACTTTAAAGATAAAGGTGTCCATAAAGGCTCTTTAGTTTAATACCCAAAATGGAAATTTATATGACATAAAGGACCCTTTTATAAGAAAAAAAAGTATGCCAGTTTCGTAGTATAATTACATATTTATGACAATCAGCTGATGCAATTTTGCCGAGATCAGTATTGTCAGCTTTGTTATTTTCATTTAAATGAACCTTTTGTTATTATTCAATTGCCATTGTATTATGAAAACACTTCTACATTTAAATGACAGTTTAACTAAAAGGAAACTTTTGCAAATGGGACTTTAAGGGCTGGTTTCCCCGACTCAACTTAACTTAATTTAGCCAATTTCTTGGACTTAATCAAGAATAAGCTGAATAAAAAGTAGGCTAACTTTTGACTTAAGTCCAAAAAATGGATAAACACGGCTTTATTGGAGCTCAAAGTACAGTCTGGTAGAGTACACGCCCGTTGTAGAAACTAATCGACTTACTTGCCCATTTTCCATTTGCTTACGCGCCATTTGCATTAGGAATGGAAATTTTTTAAGTAATTAATTAAGTAATTAATCGAAATAGAATAACATGAAGGTATCGAAAATAGCTTGAGATCACCAAAGCCAATTAAATTTTAGTCAACACTTGTACAATGAAATGACAGATTTTTTATTTTATTATATTACCAAATACTACTAAAACTTTCTGGACATAAAAAAGTGCTAGATAATTTTGAAAAGAGCTAAAATAAAAGCTAGGAGCTAAAGCCAAATTTTTGGAGCTAAATAGCAAAATAAAGAGCTACATCTAGCTCCAAAAGCACCAAAATGGCAACGCTGTTCATGGTTTCCAAGCAGTGTTGCCGCGCCGTCTCAAGAAAATGTATCCCTGACCAAGACAAAAATGTATACAAATGTATCCAATTTTCTTTTTTTTACATACACATCTCATAATTTGTAAGAAAAACAAACATTTTCATGAAAAAGACATAATTTCACCCATCCTAAGGACTTGGAATACATGTGCATAAAATCAAACATTTGTAATTTCAATTTATAAAGTACATTTTTTGTGCATAAGTATTTTGCAAAGTAAATATAATAAATAGCAAGTACACTCTAAAAAGAGCATGTAAAACTACTA